AGAGAGAGAGAGAGAGAGAGAGAGAGAGAGAGAGAGAGAGAGAGAGAATAAGTGTTGTGTTGCTCACTGGAAAGTTAGAAAAGGCAGCCTGATAATAAGAGGGCCTTCACTAACACTCACTTGGATTGCACATTTACAGTGAAAGCCAAACTTCTATTTGTGGGTGTACTTTAGTCATCTAAGGCTACCTGTTTCAATATGCTGGGGTGAGCACACATAGATGGAGGCTCCCTTTGTTGGGAGGACTGGGGAACTGGAAATCCTCACCTGAAGTCCAAGGCCCCAGTCATTGTCACACTAATCTACCTTTACTTTAGAGCAGTGGTTCTCACCCTTCCTAATGCTGCAACCCTTTCATGCAGTTCCTCATGCTGTGTTGACCCCCAACCATAAAATTATTTCATTGCTACTTCTGTAATTTTGTTAGTTATGAATCATAATGTAAATATCTGCAAGATATCTGATATGCCAACCCCAAAAGGGTCACAATCCACAGATTGAAAAATGGTGCTGTAAGGGGTCCCTGAGAAGACGTCATTCCTGACCTCATTAGTGTTGAGAATAGTTCCAAAAAAGCCATATAACCTGCCCCTGACTAGCAAGAACACAGTTAAATGGCAATGAATACCTGAAACTGCCCCAAATGTCACAGATCTTATGGGATCCATTTTTGAATCACGTAGAAGTAACATAATTTCAGTTGCTTTTTAAAACTCACAGTTCATTCAGAAATTTTATCAGATTACTTTGGTCCTTCAAGGGCAATGTCTAAGTATTTTAGCTTTGTGTTTCTATATCACTGCTTCCAATGCTGACTTGGAATGACTCAATATGGCCTGCCTGCTTGGCCTAATGAAGATCTCTCAACCTTGGTAACAATCATTTCCACTGAAATAAACTAGATTCGGAAATAGTGACTTTAATCTGATGTACTCATAGCTTTTATGTTCTAGTCATCTGAGATAATCAATGTCAGTATTTTCAGATGGTCAAAGTAGAAAAATTCCTAGTCAAGAAAATATTCTGGTTGGATGTGGTGGCAAACACCCTTAATCACAGCACTCAGGAGACAGAGGCAGGTAGGTCTTTTGAGTTCCAGAATTGCCGGAGTTACACAGAAAACTCCTGTCTTTAAAAAAATAAATATATAAAAAAGAAGGAACTACTCTGGCCTGTGTAGAGACCCTAACATTCCATTCCAGTTGGTCCTGGTCAATCACCTACACAAGCGGTCACCTCTAGGAAGGTGGACTCACCTCTAGACAAGCTGGAGAGACAGGAATAACCAGTCATTTCATGTGAGTTTGCTTTCCTTCCCAGAATCCCTACCCAGCGCAGTAGCTGGCTGGACTACAGCCATGTATATTTCTAAATCTGCCCACTGTTCTGAACTGTTTAGAAAAATGTGACTTTTTTCATTTTCTTTTCTAAGCATACTTTCTTAAAATTTTGCATTGCCCCAACATTTCAGGCTCGCTTACTCTTTCCTTAAAGTCTCCCTCCCAGCCAGACAGTCTTTGCTGGTCATGTGTCTGACCTCCATGCCAGCCTAACTGCAAGCTATTTCTTCCCCTTCTTCCATTCTCAGCAGCTGTTGAGATTACAGCTTTCTGAAAAAACAAAGCAAACACTAATAAAACACTGTCCTTGAGTCCATTCTTAAAACCTTTTATTAATGAAATCAAGAATCCCAAGAAGGGAGGATCCCAACTCCCCTTTGTCAAGATCACCCAGAGAACTAAGATAGTTCTTTTCTTGTTGTATCTAACTATAAGTCTCTAGTCCTTGATGTTAGGATAAAGAAAGACATTATGCTGGCCTGCCCCATCACCTGGAAGCATGTGCTTGCCAGTACTCAGGCAGTACTCTGACCTGCTCAGGATCCGGACACCACCATCAGCTACATTGCTGCTACAGCTACGGCCTCTTCCTCTCTCTCTGTCTCTCTGCTTATTTCTATCTCTTTCTCTCGGGCTCTCTCCGTCTCCTCCCCCTTTCCCAATCCCTTCCCCAATAACAATAACATGTGAGCTAAATGGCCTCTCTCCCTCCCTCCCTCCCACACACATTCACGCTCACACATATGTGTGCCATTTTTTAAATTATAACATTGATGCCCTGACCTTGGCAGGCTCTCCTGGCACTCCTGCCTGCCATCAGTCTGATACACACCAGAACCCTGGAATCCAGTCCACATATGATAACCTTGCCTTTCAAACTAACGGATCTCTGGGCCCCTCCATCCAATACTGGCACAGTTGGTGAGCCCCCCCCCCCCCCGCCGCCCGCCACTTCCCATGAGTAAGGCCTCGTTTCTCGACCATGGTTTCTTGATCATGGTTTCTTGCCTCTCGGTCTTCTGTCTGGTATCAGACAACCCAAATGTCTCTTGGACCCACATGTTCCTTGGGCTCAAGCCCTGGCCCCTATTCTGTGTTCGACAAATTATTAAGCAGCCTGTGTCTTCTCAAATGTACTGGACAACTCATGTGTCTCTTGGGCCCACATATCCCTCAGGCTCAGAGCCCTGGTCCCTGCTCTGTGTTTGATGAATCACTGAGTAACTTGCGCTTCTCAAATCTGATCCTCTCTGAATTCCTGGGACACTGGAAATTGCAAACCCTGCCTTTGGGTCAGATCTGGCCCAAATACCCGTTAGATGTCAATCCAAATGGCCACATCCTGGTACTCTATATCCCAGCTCCAGGAAGCAACCCCTATTTCCTCCAAAGAAGATGGGTGGGCATAAAAGAACCTTCACCCAAAGTTTGAGTCGAATGTGGCAGCACCAGTTACTGAGCAAAAACTGCCTTTCTCCTCAACTGCTGCAAAGCCCCTCTTCAGACCGTGGACATCAGGACACTAGGAACTGGCTGCCTCACTTTGCCTAGACAAGGAAAGTCTGTTGGATCTTCTGGGCCTGACAACCGACGGCTCCCAGACCTCTGCCCTCAATGACTATGGAGGACCATGGGTGGCTGTCTATGTAGGCAGCAAGAAAGTCTCTGTCACTTTAATCACTAACTCAGGTAAAATTTATCCTCAGAACTCAGATGCTGTTTGACAACTAGACTAGAGGTCGTTTTGTCAACTTAGCAGCAGCTGCCAAGGATCCAGCTGCCTTCTCAGTTCTCTGTGTAAAATTCAGGTCACCGGCCTCGCTCTCCAGAGCTAATACTAAGTCTAGACACAATTTACCTCCTTACCACGTTCGGAAAAGAGATAAGCTCACAAAACAGACTTCAGTGCAGCTTCTTAGCACTCCTTTGTTTAAAAGAACTCACTTTGCAGTGACTCCCTCAGTACCCAGCCACCTGTATCTCCTGGTGAATTAGCTAGAGAAAGGTGTTTTAAGGTGTGAAGTTTATGTGAGGATATGAAAGCTTAAGATGTGAGGATCTAAGAAGGTTCTAGTATGTAAAAAAGCGACATAAGGTATGCAAATGCAAGTTATTAAGGTCTAAAGATGGGAAAGCTTAAATGTGATAAGGAGGAAGCAATGTGAGATGTCTAAAGAATAAAGCGTTTCAGATTTCTTTCCTTCACGATGTTATGTTAAAACTCCAAAAGTTCAGAGTCTTAACAGTAATCGATGGAATTCTGACAAGCTATTAATCTAGCTCTGGCAGAATACTAAACACCACACGACCACAATAGTCACAATACCAAGATTTTAAATTCCCTTTGGTTGGTCTCTAACTATAGACTTAAAAGGTGCTTTTTATTGTGATAAAAACATCTGTCACAGTTATTGGGATAGAAGAAAG